CATTATACCTCCCGCAACAAGTTGCGTGGGGTATAATTAATCTTTAGATTCTCATCCCCGCCCGCCCCTCTCAAAGTGTCCCGCCCAGGTGTTTTTTATTTTAATTTTTGGGTGTTAAAGGTTTTTTCATGTATTTTTATTCAGCAAGAATTTGGATCAAAGTTTTAAGAGTTATTTCCCATCTGTATTAAAAGTCACTTGCCGCTATTTAAAGCAAAAGAGCCATGTGAAGAATGGAGAAAAATTGGCAATAAAAGCAATTTAAATATGTAAGGAAAAGATAATTTGTCAGTAAAGAGAAGGCAGAGAAGAAAAATAGCATAAACACATTTAGATACCATCACTAGCAGGAGGAAGTTTTAGAGAGATTGTAACTAAGTAAAAATACAGACAAGGAAAATGACACCTGGTCAAGTTATATATAACGATCTCCAGCTGTGTGTGATTTTGCATAAAAAAAACAACATCTTAGACAGACTTTAGAGAATGTTAAGTGCTAAGGAAATGGTCAATCTTAAAACTGTCCAGGCCTAGATTTTTCAGAATATTAGATTAGAACATTTTATAGATTTTGCAAATATGACCTATTTTAATGTCGAAAACATGCCAAGTCTCAAGAACGATAAAATTTTTGAGGAAGATGGAAATCTATGATATTTTACAGAAAACAAAGGGATTTGTTGGTAAAACTAAGAGGAACATGTATTTGGGGAAAGGCCGATGAGAAGTCACGCATACACAATTTATTGGTACTGTATAGGGGATTAATTTCACTGGTTGTAATTTTCACGTTTTCTTCTAATCTGACACAATCGCGGTTTCTTGAATTCGCTAAATTGGTACATGTATATAATAAAAGTTACCTCCCTTGTCTTTATTTCACGAACAATAGGGTCTAGGTTTATATAAAATAATTTAATAAATAATTGACAATTAATTAAAACAAGTGCAGTTATCAAAAGTCTTGACTATAAACGTCGAATGACTTTCTTATATGCTAGCTATTACGATGAGTGGATACATACACAACCCGAAAATTTTCAGAACGCGGCGAAAAACCACTTGACGGTAATACATGTGTTAATGCAGGTCGACAAAATAGTATCCTTCCACATCTTCAGTAAGTTCGATATAGTTATTTGAATGAATTTTTAAAACCAAAATGTCGATAAAAACTAATATGCATGATAATGCAGGTAACAAATACACGTGGTAACATTAGTTACGCACGGGTAATCAAAACCCATGGCCCACGTGTTTTGACTGATGAAACATCTAGCGTTGGGTACTAAACAGCTTTTTAACAAACACAGGTTATTATCTGCCTGTTTGAATTAAAGTAAACCGTGATAATTAAAATAATTGAATGACAAGTACTACTCGTAATTACTGAAATGATTATGTACTGCACTAACATGTATATAAGCCTATGTTATCGTAGTTTATTCTCAAATTTCCAAATAAAACATGGAGATTATTGAAAAATTATTCACTGTTTCTTGAATTCATGGATTGATTAACACCGTGAACATAGCGAATATTAACACCGTGAGTTATTTCCCCCCTATACAGTATCCTCACCTCATTTTGTTAAGGGTGTGTACTTGATAATTTGTTAATTAACAATAAATATTTAATTTTTAAAGCAAGAATCTTCTTTAAATGTTTAAAAGAATATGAAAAGAATAAAATCTATTCATATTTGCATGAACATAATGAAAAAAAAATGTGTACGAAAGTCCATGTTTTGCTGATACTTACAATTTTTAACAATTATAAAAAATAAAATCCGCCCACCCGCCGTAATTTTTTAGCAAATTAGGATGAGAATCTAAAGATTAACTTTACCTGGCCTAACCTAATGAGACCTTAAAAAAATGCCTGCTTTCTTAAAAAAAAAAAATTGCAAAGTTCTTTATCTTAGTCATTAAATTCTATAGTCCTTAATGATGAAGGGATTCTGTCTGTCAGGGAGGACTTAAATTACTTGCACTGCATAGGGGTGGGGGTTGGAATTAGGGGGGGGGTGTTATCTGGCTGTAGTCTTGTCTCATTGGTTTTGAAATGTTTAATTACAGGTCTCTTAACACACCTGTAAAAGTCCATCCCCATCATCTTCAATGGTTCCCTCGGCCGACACGTGGATGTCAGTAAGCTTTGTCTCCAGATTTTGCCATTTTGGGAAATTTTCCACACACTGTCGCTTGAAGGTCACTACACCTGTTGGCACTGAGGAAAACAAAGAAATAAAACAATGGACAGATGCTAATGTATATACACATATAGTAATTGTATGTAACTGTGTTAATTAGCTTTGGAAAGAAAAACAACATCAGAGACAGCACTACTCACTCTTTGTGGTTACTCTTTTAAAGTAATGGAAGATGCATTTCAACTTCTCTAACTTTATTGTCTGGTAATTAGGATTTCCATCATATAAGCTAAAAAAAAAAATTTCAACAGCATTCAAAATGTTTGAAATACTGTTCAAGTTTTTAAAGGATTTGAAGAAGTTTTTAAAGGATTTGAAGATGTATAAGTCTGCTAATTTTTTTTCTTCAAAAGCTAAAAACTTGGAACCAAATACCAATGCCAGATGAATAGCATACTGTAGATCACTAAATTTTCGCGACACCTTATTTTCGCGAGACAGTTATTGACTCTTGATTAGCGAGACAAAATTTTCGCGAATTGTGGTTATTGCTCTATATAATCTTAAGGAATACTATTATTCGTGACAATTAAATTTTCGCGAGCACACTGTCCCGCGTAATTACGCGAAAATAAAGTTCTCGCAAATAAAAAGTGATTTACAGTATAATGTTTATCTTCATGTCTGTCTTTACCATATAATACGTATACACTTTACAAAATAAGTACAAAAACTGGTATACTTAAGTTTTCATTCCTTTCTTCTATGAAGAGATTTAAAACTTACAAACCTGCTAAAATTGATTGTTGGATAATTGAAATATTCAGATGATTTTCCACGTGCATTTCTTCTTGGGAAAGTGCAGAAAAATGCGTTGGCCAGCAGACAGGCGATTTGTTCCTGAGACATAGTGATGCTTTTATTTCTCTCTCTCTTCAGTAAAGGAATGGGCTGCAAAATTCAAGTTCATTTTCTCTTCATACTTGTATCATGTTTCATGATAAAACGATTCTTTGTGTGTGATACGGTAGAAGTACCGGTACTTTTTTCTGCGTAGTATTAATTTAGGCTATGTAGACAGTCCCAAATTTTCCGCGGAAATTTGCATAAAAATACTTTATTCATATGCAAGACATATAGTGACAGTCTAAGAAATCCGTGTAATTTTCTATCCGCTGATTAAACAGAAACCAAGATTCCGCAGAATTATGACCCTGTGGAAAAAATTATGTCTACAGTATTTGATATGACTCATGTTTTAAGAAATCATGTTTTTTTCTAAAAGAAAATACATTGAAGCTGAAAATCTACATATTGAGAAAAGTGAATTGTTCTACATACCTGTGTTATCAGATTTGGTAAGTTTAGGGCCAGCTTTATCATTTTTGGTAAAATCTCATCAAAAAAGTATCTCCTTTCTGAATTTTCCATTTCCTGAAAAAAAAAATCACATATATGATGAAATCGATGTATCTGTACAATGTCAGTCTAACATAAAATTTAAAAATATCTCAAATAATATATTCTTTACCAAACATATTTACAATATCATTAATAATTTGAATGTAATGAAAGCAAGCATACATGTATTTACTTACATCTAAACAGAAGTGATAGAGCATTTGGAAGTTCTTCTCAGACAGCCTTGTGTTGTATTTACAGATAGCTTCCTAAAAAGGAATTTTATCTTAATATTTATGAGCAGAAAGGAAAGCAAATACATTGGATTCTTATACTGATACCAATAGGTCCAATCCACACTTTGCAATAGTTACGTCCCTTTGCGGGGTCAACCAAAAGGTCAAAAGGGAAAGAAATGACATTTCTTCTCTTTATGCTACTAAGCATTTGGGTGTGCTCTGATAAATCTATTGTTTAAATTTTTGTCTTTGGATATATGGGTAGCCATCCATGGGGAAATCATTATACAAGATGCACATAATTTTTCCAGTCAGATGACAAAGTTACAAACCAGAAAACTATAAAAGCCACTGTAAGGATTCTATGGGTTATCCCCCAAAGATGGCGGCCAAGGGACATATCTTTTGAAAAAAGGGGATTCAACTATAGAAGACTAGAGGTACTAACTGTGAGCATTGAGCTCGCTAAATGAAACCCTCTGCCTTCCATATGGTTTTTTGTAATGGCAAAGTCCATGTTTTTCTCTGGGAGATCCGAAATAAGTGTCAGATCATAAAGTAAAATAGGAGGTCACAATGGCATTATGTAATAATGAATATGTGAAAGTACCAATAAATCTTATTCAGTGGTATAGGAGGAGTTGTTGATAAGAGTTTTGTAAGATCATTATTTTAGAAAGAATGGCAGTCTCAATGTTTTGCTCTGGGAAACTCAAAATATGCGTCCAATCAAAAAGTAAAATAGAGGTGCACAATGGCACTATATATAAACAAAGACTCTGTGAATTAAAGTCTCATTAAATTTCATTCAGTGGTGACAGAGGACATCCTGATCACTATATACTCTCCCACTTTTCAAGTGGGGGTATAATATACTGAAAGGAAAAAGAAACACAGGGTAAACTTTTAGGTGAACTTTTCTTTTTTATTTTTTTCAGTATTTCTATCAAACTTTTAAAATTATCTTTAAAGAAAATGTAACCAATCCCATTTGATTTTGTCTTATAATTCATGAGTTATTGAAACTTACATGATGATACCCCCCAAAAGTCAAAATTGAAAACTCTCATTCTCTTCAATGTCTCCCCTGCACATCTGTCACAACCTTGATTCTCCTTTGCATGGAGTTCATCAGAGTGTTAATCTTTCAAACCCTGGCTATAATGGGCATGGGTAACCACACCGAAAAATTAGTACAAGAGGCCCAAGGGCCTTGAATCGCTCTTCTGATAAATTGTACAACATCTACTCCTCACTTCTATTTGAAGCCTCTAACCCTAAGTATTCTAAGAGCCAACTTGCATCAACTGACAAAGTTTGATGATTCTTAGCCAATTATAACTGAAGATATTTTAATAAAGCTATAAAAAAAACCATAAGTAGGTCACTATGACCTACTTTAAGATTGAAGTTTTCTGAGGACTCAAGATGCATTAATAGACAAAGATTAAAGATTCTAAGCCAATAAGTATGTGAGATATTCAAAAGTAAGTCACCTTGACCTACTTTTTCATATACATTCTTGGAAAAACCAAAATGCATCAACTGACATAGTTTGATTATTCCAAGCCAATAAGTACTGGAGATACTTAATTATAGCCATAAAATGTTAAAAGTAGGTCACTGTAACCTAATTTTTAGTAGGTGATTTTTGAAAGCCCAAAATACATCAACTGACAAAGTTTGATGATTCTCAGCCAATAAGTACCTGAGATATTCAAAAGTAGGTCACCATGACCTACTTTTTGGTTGACATTCTCTGAAAACCCAAGATGCATCAACTGACAACGTTTGATGATTCTAAGCCAATAAGTACCAGAGATCCTTAAATAAAGCCATAAAATGTCAAAAGTAGGTCACTGTTACCTACTTTTTTTTTGGTCATCACTCTCCGAAAACCCAAGATGCATCAACTCACAAAGTTTGATGATTCTAAGCTTATAAATACCTAAGATACTTAAATAAAGCTATAAAATGTCAAAAGTAGGTCACCGTGACCTACTTTTTGGTGTCACTCTCCGAAAACCCAAGATGCATCAACTCACAAAGTTTGATGATTCTTAGCCAATAAATACCGAAGATACTTAAATAAAGCCATAAAATGTCAAAAGTAGGTCACCGTGACCTACATTTTAGTCAACATTTTTCAAAGTCCCAAGATGCATCTGCTGACCAAGTTTGATGATCGTAGGTCTGAAGGTAATCAAAATATGCCTTTTAAACAATATGAAAACACATGCCTGCAAAATTCAAAAAGTAGGTCACAGTGACCTACTTTTTCATAAATATGTTTTAAGGTCCCAAGATGCAGCAATTAACAAGATTTGATGATTCTAACCCTCTCAGTGTCTGCAATAATGGGATTAAATGTTTTAAAAAGGATAAGTCATAAAGTTCAAAAAGTAGGTCAAGGTGACCTACTTTTAAGTTGACGTTGTTCGAGGACCCAAGATGCATCAACTAAGAAAGTTTGATGATCATAGGCCTTAAAGTGTCCAAAATATGCCTTCAAATCAATTTGAAAACAAATGCCCGCAAAATTAAAAAAGTAGGTCACTGTGACCTACTTTTGATTTAACATTATGTGAAGTCTTTAGATGCATCAACTTACAAGATTTGATGATCCTAGTCCTTATAGTAAGCAAAATATAAACGTTTTTATCAATTGTAAATTTAGGTCAACTTTGAAGTGACCTTGAGACCACACCCTTTGCCCCAGGGTCATGCCTTGAACAATTTTTAATCTTCAACATATCCTGATCCTTATATGTAAGTTTGGTGAAAATCTGCCGGGTGGTTCTGGAGAAGAAGATTTTTTAGCAACCAGTACTTTTGGTTTTGTTTTCCTGATTATCTCCCCTTGTTTAAGGGTCCCAAACTTTATTTTAGTATAAATGGTAGCCTTGGGCCAAGGATACCCTGTGACAAATTTGACACTGATTGGCCAAGGCGTTCTTGAGTTATGGCCCATTTTCTAAAAAAGTTAACGCACACCGCACGACGCACACCGCACAAATGGCCATAGCATTAGCTCTTTGAGCCTTTGGCTCAGAAGAGCTAAAAATGATGCGTGCATGCGCCAGTGAGAGGTACAAAACATAAAGATGACCGGCTCAAAAACCCCAATTGTGCAATTGCTTTCTTTCCATTTAGGGGTGAATGTAATGATTATGATAGTCTACTGTATTAATAGTGGTTTTTGTGGTAGTAAGGTGGCGATTAAATAGGTGGCAGGACAAATAGCCTGATTTTAATGTGACTCTGTTTCACGTTAACGTCATCGTCATGGTTGGTTGGGAACCATTCCAAGCCCTCTCTGACAACAGATAACACGTTCTATGTGGGGAAAATTTACAAGAAACTGCTCAGTAATATGTTGTTGCCCTTATCCTTACTTAGGAATTTTGAAAACCAGACCCCATGGAACTTTCGTAAACTGTACCAAGATTTCAAGAAATTCATATTGTCTGTAAATATTGAAAAATATTTACATCCACTGAATATTTTCTCCTTTATTTCTTAAGAAACACCATTGCGTTCATCACTGCATAAACTACAGTAGGCAGGTCGCCTGTACAGATTTCTGAATCAGTGGCTGTTCCATCAATGAAACGTATAAAGACGTTCGCATCATTAATACAATAATTAATCTTTTTAATCCCACTTTAATTGATTATTTAAACAGATATAAATATAAACAATAAAATGCTTTCTTTGTTTGTTGTTACTGGAATGAACGGTCGCAGCTATTGCAGAAAAAATTTACATAACCCGCTTACGCGGGTTATGTATTTTTTCTGCAACAGCTGCTTCCGTTCATTCCAGTAACAACAAACAAAGAAAGCATTTTATTGTTTAAACAATGCGTATACCTCATCTGCATCAAATGGTACAAAAAGATTTGTTGATAAACTTGTCAACATCAATTTGCACATGTTTTTGGCTTTTTAGTGTTTTCCCTACATAGCGTCATACATTTTAAGGTTGAATAATTCTGAACACTGATTTTGGTGCATAGTAACTAACATTCTCATCTGACCAATTTTCGTAATTTTTGGTTATGCGGTCAAAACAATTTTGATTATTATTCTACCCTGCATTTCTTTTTGCTTTCAGTATAATATTCTGTAAAATTACACATACTGATAATTCCAGTGGTCCAGGCATTGGTTTTCTCAAGGCACTCTCTATTATTTCCCATCTCCTTCTTATCTAGCAAAGAAATAAATTAAACTGATATCAAAAAATTTTTTAAATGAAAATACAAATTTCTAATATGCCAGCTGTTTGTAAATCAAAATCTGCTAATACTCTCTCATTAAGAAATACCTTATTGTTCCAAGGGAATTCACTCTGGTGTGAGCAGGGTATACGGACATGATGGCTGTCCCATTTATCTACGTACTGGTCTGGATGTGGTTTTGGTGGATACTTAGTGTTGTATGTGTACTAAAACATTTAAAATAGTTAAATCTACTGTATATACATGTACTTGTCTATAAATTATTTTGTTGGAAGTTAAATTTTGGTCAAAATTTCTATGTCCGACTTATTGCAAGTCATAAAAAGATTGGTATTTTTCTGGACATCAAAAAGTAGTTTTTCATAAGCATTTCCAACAATTATTGTTCAACAAATTCTGGTTAAATATTATACAATTATTGCTGTTTTTGAAGTCAATACATACAATGATTTAGCCACCTGAGGAGTAAAAAATTAACTGAGCCTGAAGGTCGGATTTAGCCTGAGAACACAGTCAATAAATTTAGCTGGACCAGTTTATAGGTGAGTATATCATTAATTCTTTTCAACAAAAATATATATACAGATGATGAATAACAACTAAACAAATGAGCGCCCTGAGCATACTTACAGGGACTTTAAACAGGACATGGTGGTCTGAGTGGGATCTCAGTGTAGGCAGAGGGTTCATACAGCCAGGTTTTCTGTTCAGGGTGGCTAACGACTTCCCCTAAAACAAACAAAATCCTCCTTCACAGTAAGTTATAGTGTATAGTGTGATTTATAATAAGCACAATTTACATTGATATGCTCATTTACAGTATAAGACACATAGTTTTGCTGTTGCTCAGACTGTGGGTAATCAACATATAATTACTGGTAGGCATGGTTATTTGATCACTTATATGTGAGTAAAGTGAGGTTAGACTTAAAATTGGAACCCCCATGTCATCAGATGTTTAGATTATCTAATTGTGAGTAGTGTTCTACTATAAGCATACCAGTAAGTAAAACATACTGAACCAAATTATAGACTAAAAGTCACATTACTTATTACTGATTCTTTATAATTGTTAGTGATCACATTACCAGGCATACCAGTAATTATGTTCCCCAAACGAAGTTGGGGAACATATTGTTTTTACTTTGTTTCTTCTTCCTGGGCACTTTTTTGTCCGCAAATGATCTCGTAAACTACACATCCGACTAAGGTGAAATGTTTTTAGGGTCAGTAGACATGTTATGTAGATTTGCCGAACGAAGGTCATTTTGCGCGCACATGCTTGCAAGAGCGCGCACGTGCAACACGAGAAATGATCAATATAATGAATATAAGCGTAACTTTTTTACATTTTTGATGAAATGCTTTGAAACTCATAATATTGGGATATATTAGTAACATAGACAATATGACATGGTCAAAATAGCAAGATCTCACGCGCATGCACGTGCGCTTCGCTCTGACTGGCTGAAACTAAAGTCTCAATATCTTTCTTGTTTTTTGAAAAAAATCCTTTGAAATTTTGAACTTTGCCATGCATTAGGATATTCTACAATATGATATATAGCAATTTTCATGAAAACACGTGCATGCACGTGCGCTGCAATCTGATTGGCTCAAACTTTAAATAGCTATAACTCCCTTGGTTATCAACCAAACAGGATGGGATTTGGATCATAGATAGATATAATAGACTTCTACAAGAAGGTATGGTGACCATTCACATGCATACACGTGTGTGTACGTGTGCTGCAATCTGATTGGCTTAAACTTAAAACAGCTATAACTCCCTTGGTTTTCAACCAAACGGGGTGGGATTTAGAACATAGATAGATGTAATGGACTTCTACGAAAAGGTATGGTCACCATGTTCATGTGTGCACCTGCGTGCACATGAAATGAGTAAAATAAAAACAAGAGGCCCATGGGCCACATCGCTCACCTGAGTAACTTGGGTGATGCAGA